GTTTAGGGTGGTTGCCAGGGTGTTGGTATACAGATGCTGTGGTGTTGTGGTGATTGCTAGGGTGTTGACAGACCAGTCTCGGGTGGTATCTAGGATGTTGCTAAGGTGATCTGTTGGTTGCTTGGGTTTTGCTACATGGTTGTTAGAGTGTTGGCAGGCCAATGGTGTTCAGGGTGGTTGCTAAGGTGTTGCTGAAGTTTTCCAGTAGTTGCTAAGTGGCTGTTAGTATGTTCAGGGTGGTTGCCAGGGTTTTGCTATACAGATGCTGTGGTGTTGTGGTGATTGCTAGGGTGTTGACAGACCAGTCTCGGGTGGTATCTAGGATGTTGCTAAGGTGCTCTGGTGGTTGCTAGGAGATGGTAAGTGTGTTCATGGTGGTTCAGGACGTTGCTCTGCAGTTGATGTGGTGTTCTAGTGGTTGCTAAGGTGTTGCTACATGGTTGTTAGACTGTTCTGATTGACTGCCAGCCCAGTGGTGTTCAGGGTGGTTTCTAGGGTGTTGCTAAGGTGTTCCTGTGGTTGCTTAGTGGCTGTTAGTGTGTTCAGCTTGGTTACCAGGACATTGCTCTGCAGTTACTGTGGTGATATGATAGTTGCTAGGGTGTTGCTACATGGTTGTTAGATTGTTCTGGTTAACTGCTAGGGTTAACAGCCAGTGGTGTTTAGGGTGGTTTCTAGGGTGTTGCTAAGGTGCTTTGGTGGTTGCTAAGTGGTTGTTAGTGTGTTGAGGATGATTGCCAAAGATGTTGCTCTGCAGTTGCTGTGGTGATCTGTTGGGTGATATAGGGTGCTGCTACATGGTTGCAAGACTGTTTTTGTTGACTGCCAGGCCAGTGGTGTTTAGGGCGGTTTCTAGGGTGTTGCTAAGGTGTTCTGGTGGTTGCTAAGTGGTTGTTAGTGTGTTCAGAATGGTTGCCAAGGATGTTGCACTGCAGTTGCTGTGGTGATCTGTTGGTTGCTAGGGTGTTGCTATATGGTTGCAAGACTGTTCTTGTTGACTGCCAGGCCAGTGGTGTTTAGGGTGGTTTCTAGGGTGTTGCTAAGGTGTTCTGGTGGTTGCTATGTTGTTGTTAGTTGCTATGTGTTTTTTTTGTGGCTGCTAGGTTGTTGCTACATGATTGTTAGACTGTTCTGGGTGATTGCCAGGCCAGACTACAGTGTTTAGGGTGGTTTCTAGGGTGTTGCTAAGATGTTTTGGTGGTTGCTAGATGGTTGTTAGTGGTTGTCAGATGCTATGTATTTTTTTGTGGTTATTCGGTTGTTGGTTCATGGTTGCTAGACTGTTCTGAGTGATTTCCAGGCCAATGCTATGGTGTTCTGGGTAGTTGCTAGGGTCTTTAGGGTTGTTGTTATGGTGTGGTTGCTGGCACAAATGGGGTTTCTGATGTGTTGAAATTTGATATTTAGGATTAGGGCTTTGCTCAAACTCCAAACAAACACCACAAATGATTGAATGAATATTTATCTGGCACCCCCATCGCTTTCCACTGGAGATAACCTTTCAAATGTGAACAGCTTGACCACTTTGATCGGCCCAGTGCTCCTGTGCATTCAGCGACTCAATCATCAGTATTGAGCTAATTCCCAAAGCCACTGTAATCAATAGTTCTTATATGTCACATCTCTTAATGGTGTAATCAATGTGATATGTTTTCGTGAGCGTGTTTCTCACCATCACCGCAGAATTGAGTGGTGTTGCCAGACTGGCCGTGCTTAGACTACAACCATCAGGGTGATGGACACCTCATCGGTTCATGACCTCTCACTCACTGCATAGGTCATTCCAGCACTGGCCAGCTGGACTGGTCCGTAGGGGTCCGTAGGCGTGGGGGTGGAAGTGTGATGATCTTTTCAGTCTCCTTTCATTACACCAGAGCTCAACAGGACAATTCACATGTATCTGCTTGCCAACTGGAGCGATCCCTGCACGGTTCCATATTACTGAGAGGAAACTCAGTGGCTACAGTTACACATGTTGTTTTTGGACGCATAAAATGCTTCAAAATGCATGCTTTTTTGTGACAGATATGAAATCTGAATCCAGCGAGGAATAGAAGCAAATCCACAGTGCATATTTTGGGTGTAAAAGGTCCACTGAATCCAACATGTTCTCTCAAATCTGTCCATTTTCTGGTAATTACCCTCTCAAGGCTTAATGCTGTGTGCTATCACAGAGAGTTAATGGCCCTTTCAGCCACAGACTGTTGTAGACACCATCACTGTCATCTTGTCAACAGGGGAATATTGTCAGCCTGCTTTAAATTCAACTCATATTTGCTTTTACGACACAAGAATAGCAAAATTAATGGTGATGTATGTAATATCCAAAGGAATGGCCTAAAATAATGAAATAAAATGTTTTGCAACAAGATACCAATCTGTCATTGGTTAACCAAACTGACAGCCCCGCCCCAAAATTACACTGTTGGTTGAGCCAGTGTTGCTGTGTTAACGGGATAGTTCACCCAAATTCTGTCATTAATTACTCACCCTCATGTCGTTCCAAACCTGTAAGACCTTCATCTTCGGAACACAAATTAAGATATTTTTGATGAAATCTGAGAGCTTTCTGACCCTGCATAGACAGCAACAGCAATACCACGTTCAAGGCCCAGAAAGGTAGTAAGGACATCGTTAAAATAATATCATAAAATTAAGGTTGAACCACTGATGTCACATGGACTATTTTAACAATGTCCTGAACAAGGCTTATGGCTGCTTTCACAGTTATGCTTGGTCTTAACCCAAATTTCATGGATCCCCCTCTGGATTCTGTTCATACATTGTATTTTGGTTCCGAAACCATGGTACATTTGCATCATCAGAGTTGTAGCTGTTTACCTCTGTTGCAGGTCCAACTTTGCAGGAGAACATAGAGACATGAATGGATACTATGGCTTGTTCACCACACTTTCTTAGGAGAATATATTGTTGATATTTTCAAGTCCTTTTTGGTCTCTGCTCAGATCAATATACAGTGGGTACGGAAAGTATTCAGACCCCCTTAAATTTTTCACTCTTTGTTATATTGCAGCCATTTGCTAAAATCATTTAAGTTATTTTTTTTTCCTCATTAATGTACACACAGCACCCCATATTGACAGAAAAACACAGAATTGTTGACATTTTTGCAGATTTATTAAAAAAGAAAAACTGAA